AGGTGAGGTGAGGTGAGGTGAGGTGAGGTGAGGTGAGGTGAGATGAGATGAGATGAGATGAGATGAAATGAGATGAGATGAGATGAGATGAGATTGGAGGAGATTGGAGAAGATTAGAAAAGGTGAGGTGAGATGAGATGAGATGAGATGAGATGAGATGAGGTGAGATGAGATAAGATAAGGCGAGATAAGATAAGGCGAGATGAGATACGATAACATAAGATAAGACAAGACATTGACAGGATAGATAAGATAAGATAAGACAAGATGAAATAGAATAAGATCAGATCAGATCAGATCAGATAAGATGAGATACATCTTTATTGTCCTGGTCTTCCAACGTCTTCTTCCTCCTCTCCCCTTGTTGTCTATTGTCTATTATGTTCACTTTCTACCCCACTCTGTTCATCTTTACTAATTTGATTGTACATTATCTGCCCATGCCCTGAAAAGGATTACACGAAATCATACTTTTCTGTGTAGTCTTAGCTCGAGTTTTTCGGCACTTGCAACACAAAAAAGGCATATAAGAACCAACGATTAGAGGTGTTACAAGAGAGTAACAAACACTGGAAGAAAGAACGAGGAGCAATAAGGACGATTGATGTTTAATAGGAAAGAAGGAGCAAATAAACACCAGAGCACCCGCCAACCACCCCACCACTTGTAACTTTTTCCCAGTCTGCACACACACAATTGGTCGCTTTTAAGGACAAGCGGGCTAACCCAGATTTCAGGGGTTTCCAGAAATCTTGACCTACATTAAAAGTGATCATTGTCCTATCTATAGGAGAAGTTTGGTTTTCATTGGTGTGTCTATTTGTTTCGTTATAAAGAAAACTCTCCTTGTCTTTTAAAGTTCCAGGAAAAAAGCTATGGAAGATCCTGGAGCTTTTAAAGAAACTGAACAAGGGGCAAAAACTTTATACCTTCGATTTTCTCTAAACAGCTTTTTTCGGGATAGCCCCCCTTGTGCTTAGAAGCAACCGATTATGAACCTACTCAAGATAGTCCTTGCCACTTTTCTTGTTCACGTCGTTCCTGTCGTAGAGCCAGTTGAAGTTCATCCTGCTGATGTCGAATCCCCCCACGGCTGATGGGTATTTGCTGGAGGCCACCTGGAACGTGGCTGGGTTGATGTACTCTATGTTGGGGAAGACGACAGCGCGGCTGTTGTTGGCTATAGGCTTGATCAGCGGCTCCAACCAACCTGGGGAGATTAGGGCAGAAGTGTTAAAAAAAATAAATAAATAATTTATTATTGAAGGGGTGAGAACATTTTATAGTGAGGTGTTGTGGTGAAATCGGGCGCTCGTCAAAATAATGAAAATCGGAGAAAGCGGCATTTTTTCTGCCATTTTGACAATTTTTTCTAATTTTTATTTTTTGGCTCAACACCTGTTAGGACCATTTGAAATCACGTTTCTGTGTGGATTTTACAGACAAACTTGGACAAAGGTACACACTTGGTAAATTTCTGTTTCCAAAAACTCTCAAGTTATGAAAGTAACCAAATATTGCAGACATTTTCCTACTAATTTTACCTCTGACACTAAGTGACCCCGAACTCCTTAAATCGCAGATATCTCTGTTTATATTCAAGATAACTGAATATTAATTTCTTCCAAAAGGAAAGACCAATAGGGTTTACGATGATACCAATAACTCCACATGCCCAAATATTGACAGGCGCCTGATCCCACCGAGTCGAAACACAATAGATTGAGTAAGTCTCATTTTGCTATATTGTTATTATTATTATTATTATTATTATTATTATTA